AGGCTCTCCCTGTATCTGGACTTCAACCATGGGGCAGAAGCCCCGCAGATCCTGACAGTGGGGGTGCACCAAGCCGCAAGAGCCGCCCCCAGGGGTGGATGAGAAATGCCTGAGGGATGGGCCCTCCCCTGCCAGGGGACAGTCCCTCAACCAGCACACACTCTGTCCGTCCCTATGGGAACCAGAGTCGGGGATGAGAGGGCCGCCCTGCCCCAGAATCAGCCTGGTTCTCTGACAGATGGGCTCAGAGACTGACCCCAAGGGATGATGGGGCCCAGCAGCAGATATTTTCCAGAAACTGAATGGGTGGAACCCGCAGCTTTGAGGTTTTGACATTCAGTGTGCTGGAAAGCACGTCCTCGGAGCAAATGTAAGCTTACGAGGAAGGTTAACCATGAGGGAAGGATAACCTTGAGAGATATTTAAATCCACTTATCCTGAAAAGTATTAGGGGCCCCACGACATGAGGTCTGAAAGTTCCCTGGGGACCCCAGTCCTTCTCGGCAAGGCCCATCCCCTGCCCCGAGGGGGCATCTCTCCCCTAGCTCTCTATCCTGGGCCCTCGCCTCCGCCTGCCCCACCAGTCCCTGTGCCAGGTGGTCTGGCCATCAGATGAAGCTCAGAGCTCCCATCCTGGCCACAGGCTCCCTGACCTACCTCTGTATGGCTTCTGCCAGTAAAGCACAGCTCCCGACAGGGGACGACAGCAGAGGGGTCCCAGAGCAGGAACGGGTCCCAGGAGGGGCCTCCACTCCTTCACCAGGGATCGACCTAGAACCTACTGCAGAGGTGACACAAGGCCCCCCAACCCCCATCGCCCCGCCAGCTGCGCAGGCCGTGACCCACCAGCAGCTCTGCATGGGGTTGGGGCGCAGCAGGAGAGACAGAGTACGACGCCCTCTGTGTCCTCCTCCTCCTCCACCAGGAGCACCTGGCACACCCCAGGTTCTCCACAAGGCATAGGCACAATCCCTGACTCACGCAGACCGCACGGCATGGGGGCGGGGGGACACCACCCGCTGACCCCAGTGTCACGAAGCCTCTGCTTCATGGAGCTTCCTCTTCGTGGAGCCTCTGCTTCCACTCTCTGGCCCGTGGAACCCCAGCTGGGGGAGCTTTGGGTGCCAACCCTCCGAGCAGCAGAGAAATGAGCCGGTGGGAGCAGGGGGCCCAGGAGGACAGCCCACAAGAGCAGGCCGTGGGCGGAAGGACTGGGCACAGCCCGGGGAGGACGCCACACTTGCTCGGGCGTGCTCCCACCGACTTGGCCGGCCTGAGATGGTCACAGAGACAGAAGGGGACAGAGCAGGCAGAGCATTTCCCAGAGGCAGGAACACAGGCAGCCAGGGCCAAGTAAGAAAGGTAAGGTCTAGAGCCGCGAGGAAGGCAACATCGCTGGACCAGGTTCTCGTGGCAACGAACAGATGGGGAGCCGGGGGCAACAGGCCGAGGACTAGCCTCATGCTGATGTGAGAGTTACACAAAGTCCAAAAAGCCCAAAGGAAGAATCATCCATCACCCCGTGCACGCAGTGCTGTGAATGACAAACCATGACAAACTAATGGCTTCAAACCTCCGAACTTTAAGTAACTTGTCCTCTGGAGGCCAGAGTCTGTCCCGGATCGCATGTGAGCTGCGTTCTTTCTGAGCTTCCCCGCCTTTTCCCGCTGCCAGAGGCTCCGCATCCCTGGCCCGCAACCCACCCCAGCCCCAGCATCCTCACCGCCCACAGAGCAGGGTCCGCTCATCTCTCGGATTCCCACCCTCCGCCTCCCTGTCGTACCGACCCTTGTGTCAACATCTGGGCCCCAAATGATCCAGTAACATCTCCCATCTTGGGGGCCTTCATGTAATCCCAGTTGCCAAGACCTTTTTACAGTGCGAGGGAATGCAGTCCCAGGTCCCCGGGAGTGGGCTGCAGGCCCCTCCAGGGACACGGTTCAGTCCGCTGCAGGTGCCGTGGGAAAAACCCATCACGCAGAGAAAGAAGGTACGGTCGTCACATCGCCCCAACCCGGAGACTGCTGCTGAGGGGTCCACCTCGGGGAGATGAGCCCAGCTGCCCATGCTCGCTCAGACGGAAGCACTTTCTAGAAAATCGGAAACAGGACGGAGCATAAACAGGCCCGCAACCCCTGGTGTCCGTGCAGTCTACAGACGCGGACAGTGCCCCGGGCCACCGAGAGGGAAGAGTGCCCTCCTCAGGCCGCAGTGTTAGATCCGCTGGGGGGGTGGGGAGCCAGAGGCAGGGACAGGGTCAACAGGAGCTGTGCCCACACGTGTGACCCCCGCAGACAACCTCGCCCTGCAACTCCACGTGGGCACTGGGGGAACGGGACCAGGGACAGCCGCTGCAGAAGCAGGGTGCCGGTAACTCAGAAGGTGATGCAGAGAGGGACCCCGTGACCCAGCAGCTCCACGCGAGGCATCCCCCCAAGAAAACCAAACCATACGTTCGCACAGAAACTTGTACGTGAATGTCCACCGCAACCTCAGAGTCCACTGACGGATGAACAGCTACACAGAGCGTGTCCCCACTCCATATGCACATGTCCCGCGGCCGCGAACAGAAGCAAGGTGCTCGCACGCGTAGCCCTGGGGACAGACCTCAAGTCCACAACTCAGACACAGACACAGAAGGCCACAGTGGGTGTGAGTGCACATGTGTGACACGCCCACAACAGGCTCCTCCAAGGACAGGATGGGGGCTCACGGGGGGGGGGGGGGGGGGGGGGGGGGGGGGGGGGGGGGGGTTTTTTTTCCCCCCCCTTTAAAAGATGGAAAGGTTTTTGGGGGGATAAAATATTCTGGAATTAGGTGGTGGTGATGACGGTTGCAGATCTGTGCAAACATACTAAAAATCACTGAACTGTATACTTTAAAGGGTGACTTTTTTTTTTTTAAGATTTTATTTATTTATTTGACAGAGATCACAAGTAGGCAGAGAGGCAGGCAGAGAGAGAGAGAGGAAGCAGGCTCCCCGCTGAGCAGAGAGCCCGATGTGGGGCTCGACCCCAGCACCCTGGGATCATGACCTGAGCTGAAAACAGAGGCTTTAACCCACTGAGCCACCCAAGCGCCCCACAACAAAGCACAACTTTGAAGGGTAAAAGCAATCAATATCTTAGGAGACACAGAAGAAACCATTTCCAAATCACCCAGCCCCAGCGAGCAACAAGCAAGCCCAGGTTAAGGACGGCGCACCTTTCCTCGACAGGACCGCACGGTAAACACTCTTGCCTTGGCAGGTCACACCGTCTCTGTCACAATTGCTCATTCCGTTCTACCATTGTGAGGAAGAAGCTGACAGAGACGACATGTCAATGAACACTGTATGCTGATAAAACTTTATTTACAAAAACAAGCAGTGGGCCAGATTGGTCTGTAGACCAGTTTGCTGACCCCAGAACCAGACGCCCAAAGTTTACCCTTTAAGAAACAAAACCTCTACTTCACCTCTTCTAAAAGGGCGCCTGAGTCCCACCGCCCATTTCCCCGAATTCCAAAATGATAGCTAAACAGAGAAAGCCACGATCCAGCCCACGCTTAGTCCTATCGGCCTTGTGGCCTTGGAGAACAACCCTTAGAGAACACGATTCTCAGACCATCGGGAACGGCCGACGTGGAATGGCCGGGGAGCACACAGGACTGTTCATCCCACACTGACCAATCCTCCATGCAGGTCACTGCCACGCCCTCAACCCTGCTCCGTGGATGTGAGCTGGGAGGTGACTAGGCCATGCCCTGTCTCCTTATGAGCAACAGCCCTGAACCACCATCAGAGGCCACCTCCTTAAAACCCTCTGTCCCCCTATTTATTAGGAAAGTACGGGGAGCGGGGGCACCTGGGGGGCTCAGTCGGCTAAGTGTCTGCCTTCAGCTCGGGTCATGATCCCAGAGTCCTGGGATCAAGTCCCACATCAGGGTCCCTGCTCAGTGGGGAGCCTGCTTCCCCCTCTGCCTGCCGCTCCTCCCGCCTGTGTGTATGCACGCACTCTCTCTCTCTGACAAATAAAGTATTTTAAAAAACAAAAAAAAGGGGCGCCTGGGTGGCTCAGTGGGTTAAAGCCTCTGCCTTCGGCTCAGGTCATGATCCCAGGGTCCTGGGATCGAGCCCTGCATCGGGCTCTCTGCTCAGCAGGGAGCCTGCTTCCTCTCCCTCTGTCTGCCTCTCTGCCTACTTGTGATCTCTGTCTGTCAAATAAATAAATAAAATCTTTTAAAAAAATAAATAAATAAATAAAAATTAAAATTTAAAAAAAAAGAAAAGTACTGGAGAAAGTAGAAAGCTTTAAAGCCCAGAACCTCTGGGCAACAGGATTCTTTCAAAGGTATTTCAAAAACAATTCTCCGTTCTTTTTTTTCTTTTTTTTTTAAGATTTTATGTATCAGAGAGGGAGCAAGCGAATGGACACAAGCAGGGGAAACAGCAGGCAGAGCAAGCAGAAGGAGAAGCAGGCTCCCCGCCCAGCGAGGAGCCTGATGCAGGACTCGATCCCAGGACCCTGAGATCATGACCTGAGCTGAAGGCTGACGCTTAGCCACCTGAGCCACCCAGGCGCCCCATAATTCCCAAAAGCTCCCAGTCACCACTCCACTGTGACGGGTCACCATTTCCTGTAGGGCATGGGGATGGGGTGACTATGTCCTTCGATGAGCCCAGAAGCATTGTCCCAGCTGTTCCGCGTGACACAGATGAGGCCACTCAAGCCGGGTGATCCCAGCATCCCCCAAAATGCACAACGTCAAGTGTGGCCCAGGCATCAGACGCTGAAGGACCAGAGCACGAACGTGAACACGTGGACTGAAGAAGAAGCAGCCGCAGAACAAAGCCCGGATGGTCTTCTAGGCTCCTCGGCCTAGACCCTGGACACCCGTAACCTCGAGACCAAACAGGAGCCACCGTCTCCCAGCAGGGCGTGGGCAGGCCTGGGAGGGGCTGCGGCCGGCAGCGCCCTGCTCTCCTGAGGCCACCTGGGCCCAGAGGCCCGAGAACTTACTTCGGAGACTGGTTGTAGCCAAGGCCGTGAGGAGAGGTGCCCCGGGAACTGGCACGGGTTCCTTATCAGGTCCCAGCAATGGTGACGGTTCCTAAAATGCGAAATAAAAGCGTGATTAACTAAACGCACTTTTAAACCTTAAGTCCAGATTCCACTCCGAACAGCTGCGCGTAACCCAAGGACGTCGCCTTTGCTTAGACGTTTCCAATTCTTTGCCGATTTGCAAGAACACTAAAATCCATAGCTATAAGCACTTTCCCCATTAAAGTCCTTCCGTGATTGCCCATTTTAAGCTCAGCTCCTAACAATTAGTAGCAAAAGAAGTGAGAGGCTCCTCGAAACAATCAAATTAAACCAAAGAAGCTTCTGGAAACCTTAAAGTACAGGCAGCCTCTGAGAGGTTTATGAGAAGTTCTGCCTCCTCCAAAGCCCCACAGCCAGAAAGGCAACCCTCCAAGGAGGAGAGTCACAGGGACAACACCAATGCCCAGTGGCCACCACCCGCGCCCCCAGCAGACAGAGAGCACATGGAGAGAGCAGAGCAGGGGCAGCACAGAGCCAAGATCCATCCCATGGGGAGCAGGGTCCCAACCACTGACTTTGCAGCTGGGCATGGAGGCCCCCAACACTGATTGAACGGATGCAGGACAAGACTCCCGACTTTGGGTGTAACCCCAGGACCCTTGACAGTCCAGGCTGTGGCCACTACCGTGACTCTCCCACCCTCCCTGCCCCCACCTCTCCCAGGCCCCATCCCCACCCCCACTCTGTGCCTTCACGAGCCTGCCATCCAGGACACCAGTGTCCCCCACGGCCCGTCTCCCTGCGCAGGGCAGTTCCCCCAGCGGGCTGTGGATTCATTAAATGCAGTTTCGCACACTTTCTCCACATAACACAAGCTTCACCCACACCCCTCACGGCATGCGATGTAGGCTGGAATTTTCTCTTATTTTTCTCTGGTTTTTAAAATTCCTGGGCATGACCCCATTAAACAGATCTCACTGGCTTTTAAAAGGTCAGGCCCTGGTTTGAACAACAGCAAGCTGTGGGATTGCTGGACCTCCGGCTGCACACACCTTCTGGGTGGGGTGAACCGCTGGGGGCTCTCCCGATGGCTCCTGGGCCAAGATCTCCCACCTGTGCGGCTGAGCCTTCCCCGCTCCATAGCCGGGCGGGCACCTGCCATCGGTAAGGCTGAAGTCTTAGGATGTGAGGCCTGGGGAAGCTTCCAGGAGCTGTGGCTGGCAGTCACAGCCCCCAAGATGTCCAGGTCCTAAGCCCATCTGTGGCCACACCCCCTTTCCACAATGAAAGGGACTCTGCAGGGGGTATTAAGTGAAGGACCCGGAGATGGGAAGAGGATCCCGGATTATCTGGGGGAACCCAAGTCCCCAAAAGAGTGGAGCAGGAGGCTCAGAGTCAGAGAAAGAGACACAACACCAGCAGAGGTCTCATGGACACACCACGCAGAGGGAGGAAGAGGCCATCAGGCAGGGAACGGGATGCCGCCCGGAGCCTCCAGGGGGAGCCCGCCCTGCCCACCCCCTGACGGTAGCAGCCCAGGGAGACCCAGGTCCGGCTTCTGACCTCCAGATCCGAGATCATCACTGGGCGCTGTTTTAAGTCACTAAGTCTACGGTTCCAACAGCGCAGGGAGACTAACACGGCAGCTTCGAGGTGCGTTTCCTGGATTTCAGGGGGGCTGAGGGAATTCTTCCATGTCCACGGACGGCACAGGCTCCAGCAAACTGCAGGCCTCCACCTTTTGCTCCTGTGTTGATGGGATCCTGGGTCTCCCTCATCATTCGGACTGTCCCTGTGGGGGCTGTTGCCACGCCAGGCATAGGCCGCCCCTACCAGCGCATGGTCGGAAAGACAGAGAGACCACCAGGGCCTGGGCTTCTCAGCTGGACAGACCTCAGTCTGTTGCTCCCCAGGACCGCCAGGCCACCAATGCCGTGGGTCCTTCAGCTCTCACACTCTGGGGGCCAAGAGCACTGACCCCAATTCCTGGGCCAGAGCCCGAATTGAGGCCTCCATCCACTCTGACCCATGTCCACAGTGGACAAGAGGCTAGGTTCACCCGCCTCCACGGCTGGCTGCCACCCACCCAGGCGGCTCTGGGATGCCAGGGCCTGGCCTCAGACACGGCCACAGGCCCACTGGGCACAAAGCAGTCTGGCGCTGAGGGATCAAAGGGCCCCAAAGTGTGGGCCAGGCATGGTGACTTTCCCCCAAATAGAACACCATGGAAACTGGGAAGAATGACTTCGCAGGGGTGACACCTGACTGCCCACCTCAGCCAGGGGACCAAGACTAACATCTGCAGTGACAAGCCATCCCCTGAGATGGCATCAGGAGAAGGACACTTGACTCAGGGGTCTTCCTCCCCAAACCCATCCCCCCGCAGGTCTCACCATGAGAAAAACCCCAGACAAATCCAGGGAAGGGGCTTCCTACCAAACCCCTGCCCTGTTCCCCACGCCACCGTCAAGGGGCACCAAAAACCAAGGAAGTCAGAAACAGTCCCAGCCCGGAGGAGCCCAAGGAGACGTGATGACTCTGTCACGTGGAAGCCTGGGACAGGGTCCTGAGATGGAAAAGGGACACTGGGGGAAACTGAGAAAATCGGAATAAATTGTGGAGTTTGCTTACTGAGAGTGTATCGACACCGGTCCGTTAACTGCGACAGGGTCCCAGCCTGATGGAAGAGCCCAGCAGAGATTCAGTGGGGGCCGGGGGGATGGGGGGTAACACTCTCAATTTCTTTGCAAATCCAAAATGGTTTTTCTTTTTTTTTTTTTTAATAAAGTCTCAGTAATTTTTTAAAAGAAAACAAAGGAGAAAGGCCCAGGCAGGCTGGGTTTGATGCCTCCCATTGCCCAGGCTGGCCCAGCCCAGCCGCTGACCTCACTGTGGGTCCCGGGAAATCTGGGGCGCTAAGAATAGAACCCGGGAGGGGAGTCCGGTTGCAGCAAGGTGAGAGCCTCCAGTGACGGCCTGAGACATCAGACATCGAGGCCCCTAAAAGGCACAGTCTGACCACTTTCTCTCTAGAAGAGGCTCAATCTGGCATTAGAAGATGTAGTTGTTCCAACGTGCCCGCTGCGAGCAGCCAGGCGCTGAAGCGGTGTGCAAAGCGGCCTCTGCAAAGGGCAGGCAGGTGGGGCCAGGAAGCAGCAGCAGCAGGAAACAGGGGACGAGCCAGCTGTACCTAAAGGCCGTGGCATTAGGAACTGCCACCAGCTGGTGGCATCTCCGGGGACCCCGCAGGCTTGGCCTCCCCACCCTGGGTGAGGTAGTCCAGTCCCCTGGCCCTATCAGCTCTCAGCTCCCCAGGGCTGACCTCGGGGTGGGTTCGGAGGGCCGGCCACACTGCCCACTCTGGCCCTGGAGCTGCACGTGGGGTTCTGAGCGGCAGAGAGCTGAGCGGGCAGCCTCTGGGCCAGACAGGAAAGGAGCCCTCACCCTACTCACACAGCGACCTGACCCGGAAGGTCTTACTGTCTGCCTGCTCTTCTACAGCCAAGAGCCCCAAGGGGCAACCCTTCCCAGGGGATGCGATCATGAAGGAAGGACACAGGACCCCCAAGAAGGCATGCCCGATGACCAAAGCAAAGACAATTCAGGAAACAGAATAAATCGTGATTGTACTAGACTATAAGCCCCAGGATATAACAAATACGCGTAAGTATTCACCAACGCAAAATGAAAAACACACCATGAACGAGGGAGAAGGGACTGCCCTCTTCCACAAAGGAATCCTAATCAGAATATGGAGAAGCAGTGAGGCTGCCAGAGAGTTGCGGTGTGAACATCGCAGTAACAACTACGGCAGGGAAGACCCACAGACGGGCACTGCAAGGGACAGGCAGAAGTCTGAGAGGAAACAAGGTATTTGCACAGTCCCCAAAGGGAAAATTTGTAACTTTCCAGTGGAGGCTCCTGGCCGGCTTCTCCATAACCATGGGATCGAGCCTGACATCACCAGCACAGACACACCCCAACATCCTGCACGGAGAAGGCAGCTGGCCCCAAACTGCGTCACCTTCCTCTGATCCCAAGAAAACACCGGACAGAGCCAAGTGGAGGGACATTTCTCAAAATCCCTGACCTCTGCTCTCCAAAAGCGTCGAGGTCACAAACGATCAGGAAAGACGGAGAAACAGTCCCAGCCCGAAGGAGCCAGGGGAGACTTGAAACTAAATGCATGACAGGGTCCCGGACGGGGCTCCGGGGCAGAAAAGGGCCATGCGTGTGACCAGTAGGGGAATCCAAAGAAACGCTAAATACTATTCCTCCATGCTCTTGTTTACTTTGGGTCATTATTCTCCAGTTATGCTAGATGCTACCACAGGGAAGTAGCTGAAAAGGACCCGAGAACTCCCTGTACTATCTTTGAAACATTTCAATAAGTTTAAAATTATTTCAAAATAAAAACTCAAAAAAAAAAAAAAAAGCAGCAGCAGCAGCAGAAGAAAAAGCCAACCTTTACCTCTGTCCTGTGAAGCTCACTGCACAGCAGGGTTTAGCTGAAAGAGGAGAGAGGCTGTAAAAAGATCCAAATTGATAAGAAAAGAAAAAGCAAGCGGACACCACACTACCATCAAGTTTCAGGACCCAATAAAGACCAACCTGCCAAACGCAAGTTTCAGATCCTTCCTGCTTGAAAGCGAAGAAAAAGCGACATATTTCCTCAATCTCTGCATACTGGCTGCATACTGGCAGCCTTATTTACAAATAGCTCACCAAATCCCCATATCCTCACGGACGCCGCAATCCCACTGCAGAAGTCGCGAGGGCTCTGCTAGGGAAGTGGCGGGCACTCCAGGCTGTCTGGATCCCAACTAAGAAGGGTCTGGTCTCGTTGTATGGTAAGAACCACATCATTTTCCTCAACGCCCACCCCCAAGACCAGATCTAACTCGGGGTGAGAGAACCACAGTAAGTAAGACAGTGTGGAACCAGCATAAAGATGGACACGGAAATTAGTGCAAGAGAGTTGACATCAGCCCAGAAATAAACCCACCCTTGTGAAGCCAAGTGATTTTCAAGGAGGCTGCCCAGACCATTCCACGGGGAAAGAACAGT